TGACTACAGTGGCCGTGTTTGACAATAAACGATAATAATTAATAATGATGATATTAATAAAAGTAACATAAATTAATACTGTCAATTATTCCACTTCATTCATTACATAAAATACCTACTGGTAGGTTTTAATAATTCACATTTTTGTTCCACAAAAAAAAAAGTAAATAAAAATGACGTATAAATAAAACGCCATGAACAAAACATATTCTTTTAGAACTACAAAGTTATTCAGACGCGTCTCCGATCTCAATAGCGGCATAGACAATATCTGTATAGATGCGTAGATAGGCATAGACAATATGTATTGTCTACGTGTGCGTGTGGGAGTGTTTAAATAAGTACAGTTTCAAAACCCACGTTTAAGTGGTTGAATGACAGATTAAAAACACGCGATTTCTAAACGCATTGTCTTCGGCTGCGTTCAAATTAACGGATTACTAGGGAATATTAACGTGAATTCCTATTGGCTTATTGCTTAACTTAAAGTACGTACTATATTTTAAACAGAAAACTTAAATGAACAATAGTAATTTCATTTTAAAATAACATAGATAGTATATCAATAAAAAATCAATATTCATTTATTTATGACGAAAATAAACAAAGAGTACGCTGAAAAATATATCCTATAAAGAAACTACACAGTATCAACAGCACTATAAAACAGAGAGCATTGCGTGAAAACGAATTATTAGGGGGCAAATGCAATTTCCTGGACCAAGGCTCCAATATGTCTCCGGGAAGAGCAAATGAATAAAAATAAAGCTCGGACAGACCGCCGTTTGTTAGTCGGAGTGTTGTTTTATATTTAAACGGATAGTAGTAATACTGTGTACACCGCTACTGGTGATAATTCGGTTATCCCTGATAGAGATTACCATAGCTATAACATTCATACCATAGACAATAATCCAATTATGATATAAAAACTCATTTCTTTAACCTTCATATACAAATCTTGAAATGTCAAACTGACAGCTCATTAAGTTCGCGGTATTAAACGCTCGCAATGCAATATTATCACCAGCAAGTTAAGCCGTGATGAATTTAAGATTTATAACAAAAAACAACATTTATAATAGACCACACAAAGCCAACCTTATTAGAAAAAACTTCATCGGAAAGCAGCGCGAAATACAAATACGATATGCGCTCGGGAGAACATTATCTTGTAATAAGTAGATCTTATTGCTTTGGAATATAGGTGAGAATCGCATGACGTGTTTAGAAAAGCGATGCACCTAAGTTGGCAGGTTCATAGTTAATATTGACTCGTCAGCGTTTCGTTCGAAACTTTTCTCATTTGGTATCCAGTCTACAAGTTGAACGGTGAGCGTCCTTCCTGCACTTGGAATTATTAGTTTTATCAATAAACTGTGGAATGCATATTAAATTTATATAAAATATGAATTTATTAATACGTGTAAAATATATATGAAATTTTTAAAACTCATTAACATACGATTTACACGAGGAATGATGAATATAATTATAAATTAGGAATATAAAGTATTCTCGTTTTATCTTGCTTTGTTGTTATGTTATCACTGGATAGAATTGTGATAATAATATGATAAATGTATGGCTGCGTGTTTGATATTAACGCCTATACATAGCTAATGATGCGGCTAACTTTTAAGACGTCCATTGTTATAGAAGATTACAAAACAATACATACGTTATAATCTAGAATGACGGTTGGAATGGATTATGGCGAACAATAACGTCTTATTGTTGTGTGCCCTGACCGGTAACCCACCACGCCCTATTATATGAACTGTGACACACGGGTAATAACTTAAAAAAAAACATATAATTCCATATAATTTTTAATAATTAAATATAAATTATAATGATTTTTATTACGATAAAAATCTTATAAGCTAAAACATGTTATGATTTTTTTTTTTAATCAATTCTTGATCCAAGATAATGGTTAAACAAGAATTAATGTATATAAATTATATAATATAAGTCATTTATAATGTTATATAATAAATTTCGTCGACTCTATACGTCTGTATGTCCCAATTCAATTCAACAATTAAGATTCCTCGGCTCGTTCTAATTACACCTATGCGGGTTTCTTGATGAAGTTAAAGGGAATTAATTATTTTAGGGGATTATAAATTTAATCTCTACCGGCCTTTACTTATGATGTTGGACCCCGGTCATGAGTTATCTTAACGCACCATCTCCAACTTCAATTCGATATAATGACGTAAAACTAAATATTTGGCGAGTTTTATTGAAATGCACACACAGAAAAATCGCATATGTACAGTCCAATCAAGGAAATCTTACAATTAGAACACACAACACTGAGTTCCACTGAACAATTAATCTTTCTATAGTACATATAATATTTTGGAAATGTTACTTGAATATAATAATTTGTATTATAAAAATTTACGTAACATACCTTCTGTAAATCTTATACAGGGTGACTGGTGAATTACTATCGATATTTGAGGACGTGATATTTGACGATCATATATGACAAAATAAAAATTAATATAACATAAATATTAATAAACTTCTAAGTAAAGTTAAACAACAGTTATGTAATTAACTATGCATCGTGTGAACACCCTAAAGATTAGGTATACACACACACTCACACACACGCGTGCGACGGCGTGGTGTTGTATCAGCACGCCGCCGCGCGTCCACACTTGGAACACTTGGAACGTGTCCACACTTTATTTATTTATACGGAAATTTGGTCAAAAATTAAGTACCTATTTTTTTTACATAATTCGAATGAGAATCATGTACTGAGTATTCTCCTTAAATATTGATAGTAATTCACCAGTCACCCTGTATATTATTGAAAACAGCAATGATTTTGTTTGTTGGAAAAGAGTTTTCAATCTTTTCCCCGTGGATCAGGGACGGGTAATAGTACATTGGTTATTATAGTGTATCGATTATATCAAATTCACCAGTGCAGAAAAGTATTATGACTCGAATAATCACCCCAATATTAGCCACTGTGATTGCAAGCGTACGAGTATACATGAAGACGCAGATTACGTCAGTGGACTCAATCGGAGTTAGTTACAACTCAAAGTATTGGAAGATCACTTTCTTAAGGAACAGTTACCAACTCTAAGCCTTGATCTGGCCACTGAAGTAGAGTAACACCTCTTTTCTGTAGAAATATAATAATGTATTATTATCATTTGACGAGCCTAACATTGTTTTTGACTGTTCTAATATTTTTTAACAAGCAAATTTCATTAAAGAAAACCACTGGTAATTTGATTACAAAAAATTCGATAAAAATTTTGTCGTAATAAATCTCATATACAATGAATTAATAAAAATAATTGTTAAGCAAGTGTTAATAAATTTTATTTGCCCTAAAATTGAAGCATTGAACCCTGGTCGATGAATTCAGTAACCAGTACACCCTTAATGCATCTTATGCTTTGAACTTCGTTCACTTGCGTTTAATTCTTCAAGATTCTGTATCAAACAGATAAATTATCTTTGTCTCTTCGAAGATTCGTAATCTGTGTTGGTACGCAATTAAATAAAACCCACTTTATTAATAATCAAACACTGAGCTATAAAGATATGTCTTTATTAACACGTCAAGTGTGAACTCAATTTACGAATGAATGGTTCATTACTGAAAGAAAAATTTGTTATTGAGAAAACTATGTAATATTTTGTATATTTTTAATGGCATTGGAATTACTGTTATTATGTTTTGACGGTAGAAAAATGCACATAAACAATGACAATAGGAATTCCACAGAATTGTCAGTGGAGTATAACTTTTGAAAACACGTTGAAACTTCACATTTTCGACTGTTTCAAAAGTTTATCAGAATATGAATGTGATGGTTTCGATACTTTCAAGTTTACTTATGTTATTTTGTACTAGTAAGTTAGGTCTGTAAACAAGAAATAATAATTAGTTGCATCTTGAAGCTTTTTTAGATTGTCTCTTGGCCAAGAAACTGGAAGGGTTGTGAAGATGTGGCAAGATCCGACGAATAAATAATTATTAAAAACTACTTTCTGGCATGTTGAATCGATGACGAATTCATCGGATATAGTGATCTGTTTGACTCACATCCAGACAAATTTAACTTCTTATTATTTCACCAAAATAATATTAAAAATCTGACTATGACATTGTAAGATCACAAAATAATGAGCAACTGCCGAGAATTGAAGGCTTAGAAAAAATGCAGAAAATGTATATGAGTGATCTTTACATCTTGCTTACTACTATGGTTTTTCTTGGACTACAATTAACAATCCGAACTGCAATATCAGAAAGCCCAACTTCTTTACCTCCTTTCCCTATGCGATCTTTCTCTTTAAACTAAATTATTGCAGTGTAAGAAATTAATCCAGAAACAGGCATCGCTCAAAATATTTTGTTTAATACAGTGACTATTGTGTAAGTGTAATTTGTTCATACAAGAGTTGCGGTTTAGTTTTGTATTTACTTCCTAAAATGCAATATGTGGCAAACATTCAAACGATCTCAACGAAGTCAATTAATTGATTATTATCGTCAACAGTCATAAGTGAATTTTTAAAAATACTTACCATGCTACCATCGATCTCAAAGAAGACCATGAAAATCGTATGCTCACAAAAACACATATTTTAACGAGTAGGTATAAAATATATCTATTAATAATTACATATAAATACATATAATAGAGAAGGAAATGACTACATAATACATATATAACACTTTTATTACTAGCCTTCTATATTATTTCTTAATTTTTCCTGATATTAATTCGATATATTAAAAAAAATACTTTTACCGCATTATTTGTAAAAGTTTTATAATGGAAAGTTAACATGTTAAGAATCTGTAAATTTACACAGGTTTTGGCAAATCTAATCTAAAAACAGAACGGTATAAATATTTGGTGTTCCAGATAAACATGGTTATCTTTTATAAAAACTTCATCCGCGCAAAACTTTATGCAGATCGTTATAGCAACTCTTTATCAACAGCAATGAGTTTCTCTGATAAGGTAGTCATTGTGACCGGTGCCAGCTCCGGTATAGGAGCAGCTACAGCGCTGTTATTCAGCAAAGAAAAGGCCAACGTTGTAATAGTGGGAAGAAATGAAGCTAAACTGAAAACAGTGACGGCTCAATGTGAAGAAGTTGGAAACAAGCCGCTAGTGATCAGAGCTGATGTTTCCGATGACGATGAGGCAGCGAGGATCATTAATGAGACCATCGAGAAGTTTGGGAAACTTGACGTCTTAGTCAACAACGCTGGATTCGTACGAGGTGGATCGTTGATGGATGGAAAACTTTTACAAGCATACGACGACTTGATTAATACAAATCTTCGAGCCGTTATATGCCTCACGCAGTTGGCGACACCAAATTTAATAAAAACTCGAGGAAATATCATTAATATATCGAGTGTGGCTGGTTCAAAAACACTCAGATCTAATTATTTTCTGGCTTACGGTGTATCAAAGGCTGGTTTGAATTTGTTCTCCCAAGGTGCCGCCACGGAGCTAGCAGAGCATGGAGTTCGAGTAAATGTCATAAGTCCCGGCCCAGTTGTTAGTGATATTTTCGAAAATTCTAAATTAGATTCAGATTTTATCAAGAATTATAAAATTAATACCATAGGTGATAGAATATCCAGTTCAGAGGAAGTCGGGCATATGATCTTATATCTGGCAAGCGATAAGGCGGCTGGTATCACTGGTAGTAATTATATTTTGGATAATGGATACTGCTTGTTAAACTGATATGTCTGTCTTTATACTCATTGGTTATCGTGATCTTTATAAAATATTTATCGAAACTTAATCTCAAAAATACTTCGGCATTCAATAACAATTAAACATCTTTTATTCCTTTAAAATGTATATGAAGAACAAAATCTATAATATAATATTTTAGCATTACAACTTGAATAAATAAATTATATATTTAAAAGATAATCATTAAATATAAATGTGGTTTTCCAAATAACATATAAAAACGAATTAATTTTGATTATGTTAATTATTTGAAACAAATATAATTATTAAGAAATACATTTTCATAATATTTAAATGTACTTTTTAAACTGATTACCTAGAAGTTATTTTTCCACCTCGTTCCTGTAAAGAGAAAACTTATAAACTTCAATTGTTATAAAAATAAATTTTTAATTGCTAGACTTAACGCTGTCGTTGCCCTCTCACTGAAAAAGAATATTTAGGGAGAAATATTTTGTGTATAATAAATAATTTGACTGGAAATTAAACAAAAGAAAGTACAATGATCTAGTAAACTCTTGGAAGACCTTATCATAAAATAATTATGATAATAATTATATTTGTTGTATACATAAGAGATAGTTGCATTGTAAACAGCAAAACACTTCAATAAGATAATTTCATATAAAGAAACTAAGACATTTGTATACCTTTAGTTTCAGATATTTTAATGAAAGATAGTTCTATTATTTAGAAATCATATGTTTTTCTATAATAACTATTTACTACAGAACCATATACACTTTTATATCTAGTATACAACATATACAAGCATACAATATCCTGTATTTAAGCTATAGTTTTTTAGTAAAATTTTATTAACGCTTGCTCATTATGTAATATTCAATAAAATCATTTCCCTATTATGATCGAATAACGAGTCACACTATGTATTTTTTATCTATTATCGTTATCATTGATAACAATGGCTTCATAACTTTTTAAAAGATTAAATAGAAGATATTACGTATATAAGACATTTTTTTTAATACTCATCATAGTGTTAAAGTTTCATTGTCAGCTATGAGTTTCTCTGATAAGGTAGTTATCGTGACCGGTGCCAGCTCCGGTATAGGAGCAGCTACAGCGCTGTTGTTCAGCAAAGAAAAGGCCAACGTTGTAATAGTGGGAAGAAATGAAGCTAAACTGAAAACAGTGACGGCTCAATGTGAAGAAGTTGGAAACAAGCCGCTAGTGATCAGAGCTGATGTTTCCGATGACGATGAGGCAGCGAGGATCATTAATGAGACCATCGAGAAGTATGGGAAACTTGACGTCTTAGTCAACAACGCTGGATTTATGCGAGCAGGAACACTTGTTGATGGGAGAGTACTTCAAAGTTTCGATGAAATGGTCAAGACAAATCTTCGAGCTGTAATCAACCTAACACAACTGGCTACACCTCATCTAATCAAAACCAAGGGGAATATTATTAACATATCGAGCGTAGCCGGTATGAGAGTACTAAGTGGAAACATATTCTCTGCTTATGGCATGACTAAGGCTGCTTTGAATTATTTCTCTCAAGCCTCTGCTAAGGAGCTTGCAAGTTACGGTGTTAGAGTCAATGTCATTTGTCCAGGACCCGTCATTACGGATGTTCTAGAAAATTCAGATATAAAAATGGAGGAGTTAAAAGATGTGAAAATGCCTACAATTTCCAATAGGGCGTCTACTTCCGAAGAAATTGGGAATTTAGTTTTGTATATGGCGAGTGAAAAAGCTGTAGGCGTGACTGGATCAAATTATGTTATTGATAACGGCCTCTTAGTTCTAAATTAACGAATCTGTTTTTACTACATGCTTTTTATTTAATATATTTGCTTACATGAATGTAAATACTATATCATGAAACAAGTTGTTATAAAATGAAAATTAATAAATTAATATCATTTTGGATGTACAATGAAATTTATTTAAATTATATTAATATACAAATGTACAAAAATTAAATGGAAGACTCAAAATATGTACATTGCTAAATATACCTGAAACAAAATATTATCTGACATAAAACTCATTACGAAATTTATTGAAATATCTTTGGATATATTGTTAGAAAAAATGAGTCATAAATTTACAAATTGTTCAATAAAATTATCACCATAATTTCTTGCTTGGTTTTGTAATATGTATATGTATTTAATAAAAAAAGAAAACCATTTAAATAAATATATTAAATAAAATATACTCTTGCAAGACACGAAAATAGTATCACGGAAGGCATTTCAATCTGACTAAGGACGTCTAGTAAAGCCTATAAAATAAACACAGGTCATTTCTTTCGACCAAAATTCGGCTCCTGAACAGAACACTCGACCTAGGAAGTCTTATAAAAATCTAAATTATCGTTTATGTTACAAGGTAAAGCCAACTCTAAACTTCGTTAAGTCCCAAAATATGTATATACTCGTATATATGCAACATTATATGAAAATTAATAAACTTTTGAACACGTAAAAGGTTCTTTATAATAGACATAGGTAGTTTTTGACCAAGTAGCTAAGAATTAAGAATTCAAGAGTTGGGCAGCTATGACTGTAGTAGAAATATGTAATAGGAAGGGTAAATTACGAAAAATAAAATGAGAGGGAGAGGTAGAGAGTATCAGAAATGGGAAGTATGGTTAAGACTACACAGAATATGAGTATTCCTGTGAGTTGAATTTGAGACACTAGGTTGTGTTTGCAAAAACCAAATAGGCAAGGGATTCGAAATTTGTAGGCTCTAATGTTTCTGGCTCTAAAGTTGAAGAAGTCGTCTAGAAGTGGTAAAAGGTGAGATTACAAAAATGAGATTTTAATGGGGATTTGGAAAAGAAAACGCAGTATTGCTATGAGCGAAAACTTTTTCACAAACTTAGATGTTAGATGACTTGAAAACGCTACAAGAGATAATAATCAACTGTTACTAGATAACTTATTATTATATTAGTGTTATCACACACTGTGCTCGTGGAAATATATGTAGTAGAGTGCTTCGATGATCACAATTACCCATAGTTTAATTATAATATATGATATTCATATTTTGTAGGGAGACTAATCGAATAACTGTTTAAAATTTCACTTATCCCTCTAGTTTAATTCTCTTATTTACTACTGTATACTTGTCACAAAATACTCAAAATACTTGTGAGCAAACACTCTTGATAATTTCTGGTGTTAAGTGGAAATAGTGTTTTGTTTTCCAAAAATTAAAAATATGCTTAAAACGAAAAAGACCATTGGTGGAAATGCTTACTATATTACGCTTACAAAGACACTAGAAACTTGTCTACATTGCCTGATCTTTACAGTACTTGATGATCACCGGAATCGGTGATAGCGTACGGTCGAAATCACATTAGTGAACACGAATTACTACATTTTTGTACCATACTTACACCACACACTGCAATAGCTGACAGCAGTCAATCATTCTTGCATTTCGACGGACTAAATATTGTAATATATAACATATTTTCAATATTTATTATACTTTACATAAAAAATATTTAATTTTATTTTATATATTTCATACATCGATAGGGCAGAATGATTTGCAAATTTCTTATCACACTAACAATGATAACTGTGAAAACTATGATTTTATTTTCTTCATATTGGAGAGGCAATTCACTTGATCACAAGTGGTTGCCACTACTCAGGGACACCCAAGTTTACTACGCCTCAGGAGCTATAGAAATGTGGATAACACTAGTATGTATGGTCTAAAAGAAAAAATTAACGATATTCATGATAAAACATAACACAATAATATTAATCATATCATTATCATAATGACTAAGCATTAGATATATCTGTGACGTTAATATTAGTAATTAGTGCGAAATAAAATGGACGCCATAATCTATTATTTATTTTGTTATATATATCTGTTTTTAATAACTTTTATTTAATAAATAAGAAAAAACAAATATATACAAAATAATCTTTTTAAATTATTATTATAGACATAATATGTATAACTTGATTAATAAAATAACTCCTTTTTAAAGGCAATTTATGTTTCATATGTGATTGTTGAACGATAGCGTCAGAACTTAGGTACATATATTAGAACATAAACGATATAAATGAAGTTAGATTTACTAGATATATCCTATAGAATAATCTCGAAGAAACTGTTTCTAAACAAATATTACGTAAAGAAATATAGAATTACGTAAAGAAATATTCCTTACGTAGTCACGTTACGTAGATTTACTATATTTACTATATTTTGTATATAATAGTGTTTTTTTTATTTTTTGTATGTCCGTTTGGTCCGCTTGATTTCTATACTTACTTCAGCGAATTCGACAGATCGTTCATCACCAGGAAGACGTTGTAAAATAATCACTATATATAAAATAAGTTAGAAAAAATAACCTTTCCATGAGGACCAAAGCCACGGGTACAGCTATTACTTAATATCAATTATCATAGCATAATAGTTTTGTATTTTTTTTCCTAAGTACAATTATTGCACACCATAAATGGAAAATTAAATCAATTTTATATAACTATTAATGTATAAAAACATATATCTACACGTGCATATCACTTCTAGTAGAGCGTTTCGTCTTTTTTATATAAGCATATACATTGAAAAAATATTTAAAAAAAAATCTTTGATACCATTTCCATAATATAAACGATTAACAAGACGTATGTATGTTTATCTATTATCATTATCATTGATAATTACCAATATAAATAACAATTGCTTCCATGTTGATCATAGTGTTAAAGTTTCATTGTCAGCGATGAATTTCTCTGATAAGGTAGTTATAGTGACCGGTGCCAGCTCCGGTATAGGAGCAGCTACAGCGGTGTTGTTCAGCAAAGAAAAGGCCAACGTTGTTATAGTAGGAAGAAATGAAGCTAAACTGAAAACAGTGACGGCGCAATGTGAAGAAGTTGGCAACAAGCCGCTAGTGATCAGAGCTGATGTTTCCGATGACGATGAGGCAGCGAGAATCATTAATGAGACCATCGAGAAGTATGGAAAACTTGACATCTTAGTCAACAACGCTGGATTCGTTCGTACAGGGACCATTGTCGATAACAAAGTTCTTCAAAATTTTGACGAAATGGTCAAAACTAATCTTCGAGCTGTGATCAACCTGACGCAACTGGCTACACCTTATCTAATTAAAACCAAGGGTAATATTGTTAACATATCGAGCGTAGCGGGTATGAGAGTACTAAGTGGAAATGGTTTCGCGGCTTATGGCATGACTAAGGCTGCTTTGAATTATTTCTCTGAAGCCTCTGCTAAGGAGCTTGCGAGTTATGGCATTCGTGTCAACGTCATTTGTCCAGGACCCGTTCTTACGGATATTTTTGAGAATTCAGATATAAACATGGAGGAGTTAAAAGATGTGAAAATGCCGACGATTTCCAATAGGGTATCTACTTCCGAAGAAATTGGGCATTTAGTTTTGTATATGGCGAGTGAAAAAGCTGTAGGCGTGACTGGATCGAATTTTGTTCTTGATAACGGCCTCTTAGTTCTGAATTAATGAATCTGTTTCTATCATAACACTGTATTGATTTTTTAATAAAAAATATGTATATTAACATAAGTTACATACATGCCTACTAAACAATAACCTATATTTTTATTAAATATATATGTGTGTGTATATTTTTATGTTTTATTTTATATATTAGTGTGTGGTAGCACCTAGCTATGGTCAAGTAATTACAGATCGAACATATGCTGACCCGACCGGGGAAGTACCACCCTCTCACAGAAGTCGACGTGAAGTAGCTTTTTAAGGCTGCATTTCATCTGATGAGTGAAAGAGCCGGTTGCCCTTTCCCTATTCCCTCTCTTTTTTGCCATTTACTGATTCTCACCACTTCCCTTTCCTCATAAACCAAGTTTTGCAACGCATCCGTAACATCTCTTATGTTGCGGATGTCTATGGGCGACGGTGACTGCCCATCAAATAGACCGTCTGCTCGTTTGCCACTTTTCACATAAAAGTACATATTTCAAAATAAATGGACCGATAATTAACTTTCCATTCATTTCTTTCGTTATCTTTTATCTTCAAATATTGAGGAATTTATCGGAATTATCAGAATGTACGTATATTTTCCATGAGACATATTTATGTTAAAATAATCCAGAACTTCTAATTAAATGACAATAAGAAGTTTGAAATACTAAACTATAAACTATAGAGATTTAACGAAATTTAATTAAATTCAACCTAACCATTAGTGTAATAACAAAATGAACTTATAGATACAGTTAGAGCGAGCAGTAACAGTGAAAAAATCGTGTCTAAAATGTATTGACCACTCATCTAATTTGAGGATTAACAATAATATGAACTCACTAATACAAATAAAATTATTAAAAAGCAAAGATAATTTACTGAATACTAGAATATAAAAATAAATTTCATATCGTATGTTCAAGTATTGATCCGTTGTATGATGAAACAAAAAAAAAACTCTTTTTTCATTATAAATTGCTGTACATTTTTAAGTCACATTGTTCAACGCTTAAGAAACACAGAAGTAATGACGACAAAATACGTATCCCCATTCTTTGTATGGAACTTAAAATAAAGCGTAGTTTTCGCAGCACTAAAAGAAACACATTCAACGTTTGACGCACGCTAATGAACGTATTTAGTCCTACAAGTTTTCTTAGTATGAGTTTTAATGTAAACATAATCGATCATACTTTCTGTTTCCCGTTTGACTTCAAAAATCTGCGATTCAGTTGATGTTTGTTCTCATTCTTATATTTTATTAAATCCACTATAGTATGGAGTTCGCTTAGGTTATTGTGTTATTTGTATTCTGAAGGAATATATTACAAGTATCTTAACTATTGATGTACAAACTTTTTCTAAGTATATATAAATAAACATTATTATAACATAGATGTAATTGTAAAAAAGATAATAGTAAAGGTATTTTTTCTTTATCGACTATGTTCATTGCATAAACTCTACTTTAGCCAAAAATATAGCCTTCGATAAGTTTAGACTTTTAATTTGCTAACTATCAAGACTCGAATATTTTGGTCAGAATCAACAGTTTTTAAATTTGTTATGTTTTAACTGGAAGATTATGGTTTGAAATATTATAGTGATTCATTTTACATTTGTTAATGAAAATATAGATATAAGCCAATAAACTGAATAAAGAATAAAATTTTCAGTGAGTCCAATTAAATATAGATTTTCTTTTTTAAACACAGTCACCATTTCGTTGCCCCAAAAAATCGAATGAATCAGTGTTGATCAAAAACTTCTTCTAATCCCATCACAAGTATGTGACGTCAAAGTTTAAAATTTAACGAACTCATATTTTAATCAGTAAAATTTAAATTTAAACGCTAATTAAAATATAAGATATATTTTAATATTGTGAGCTCAAAGTTCAATGTTATAAAGTTTTTCGAGCTCTATTTACGAGCGCCGGCACGAGTAGATACGGCTTGTTTATAGATCCTTTGGAAGCGAGCCCGACTGTTATCAAATTGATAAATATTACTATATAACACCTAGTGTAACATAGTTTTTAATTACAAGCGTTATTTACTATGATGCAATTTTATAGAAAATAAAGCTTATATTATGGAAATACAACTATGAACTAGGATACTTTTATAAATATCTCGACGAAGTTGTGGTGTAAATCTCATTAAATAGGTTCTGCGTATGCTATGGACGGTAGATATATAAACCGTACTTTAATAAATAAACTGAAATAGTTTCTATTAGAAAATCTGTACTCAATCCTATTATGCAAAGTCCCGAAGCATCAGAATCTTGGATGAGGTAAGTGCACCGGTAATGGAACCCCGACTAATATCGCTTGGATATCGCGGAAGGGGAATTTTAAGATATTAGAATAGCCAGGCGGTGTTTGTGTTGGCGCTCCTGTTACACCGCTTACATATTATGTATATATTAATACTGAGTTATATAATTAACTAGCTTTTGCCCGCGACTTTGTCTGGGTTAATTTCATAATTAGAAATGTATAGCTGACCAGGCGAACTGTTTCGATATAGAGGCAGCAATTTGACAGATTTTAAGATTTTATTAGCAAAATTTTCTTTTTTGGTCGGTCAAAATTCAAAAGTATCCTTTCTCCAACCTACCTCCCCACAAATTTCCAGCCAAATCCGTACAGCCGTTCTTAAGTTATAAATAATATGTAATTAACACAACTTTTTTTTATACATATAGATGTTCCTTACTCCAAAATACATTCCCAATCAAATATTATATAATAATTAATCAATCAATATCATTAATGATTATTAATAAATTAGTTTACTTAACGTAATTTAACCTTAACAAACCGTAGATTTAATAAACGAAAGCGTTGTGAACTAACGTTAAACACGACGATACCGTACTCTGAAGATACTGCTTAGGGGTCATCACAAACAAATGAGGGGTGTAAATCCACCCCCAGGTAGCTTAAACCCTTTCTTGGCTAACATATGTACGTACAGTGTGCGGTTAAGACACACTTCAAGTGTTTCGGACGTACTTGAGGATTTATAGCTAAGCGGTATTGGTTTTGTTTAGCAACGTATTGTTAATTTAAGATTATGGGTTCCATCTTACGTGAATTAAAATAAAAATATTATTAAAATTAATTAAATAAACTTGTATAGAAAACTTTGTATGTTTAGTTATATTTATATGTATCAAAACAAATTATTTGTTGAGCACATATAATAAGTAGATGTACGGCTAAATCAATCATCGTAATCAGCTCTAAAAGGGACAAAAAACGAACTATTTTTTACCGTCCCATCCCAAATTCCCAAGTCAGAGCAGAAAAGTAATAGATAGGATACACTGAAACAATTCCAACGGTAATTGGGGTAGACGCCTCTAGAGAACCTCTGACACCTTGACGTATGACGATATTGTGTAAATTGTATACAGTTATATCTTATGGACGAGTATGTGCGACTTTACCCTAATTTTTTGACGTTTATCGCACAATGCTCATTACTTACTGAATAATATATCATACGTAACACGCGACGTTTCACAATTTAAATTTAAATATACGTAAAACCATAATATTTTATATTATTTAATTAATTATTTGTCAATAATTATATCTATTAATTTTTACTGTAATTACGTATCCAACACGTGTATTGCGAACGTTCGAAAAAAAGGAATCGTTGTAAAATTAATGCCCTCTAAGAAACAATAGCCTAATAGTGGAACGTATGGATCTATAATATAAATAAATATTATTGTTACCATCATAAATAAGACTGGAGACAGACAGAGGGACACGCGTCACCTTTTGATACATTTCCGCTGTCGTTATTAATGACAAGTCATCGGTGCCGTCCCGACGGGCTGCCGGCTTCAGGGTTTACAGCTGTAAAAAAATATTACAAATTAATATTAACTATTATCAATTCACTTATATCTTTATATATTACCGTTTTTTTACATCAATTCTATTTTAAAAATGATTTATTTTTACATTCATAATATTGATATTGTAATCAATATTTAATTTTAATGTTAAGTTGTAAGTTATTTAAATAAATAAAGAATAACTTAATAGCGACAGCCCTGGGCTAGAGACCTGCCCAGCATAATAATAGATCGGGGCGGGGGTTTCTCCCAGTAATATCATGTGAGAGACGCGCTGGTAAATTTATCAATAGCATTATATCGCGAGAACTGAGCACCCGCCTCGCCTTATATTTTATTCAGAGTACGATGTTTTGACATCGATCTCAAGGAAATTTTATGTTATGTCGCGAAAAAATCGCTCCCCCCGCCCACAGGACGCGAAATGTACAAATTAATCAAACCGATAACTAAAATATTATATAATTGGTTGATAGTTTAATGTGACATTACGTGACACTTCTTAAAAAATCAATGTCATGTTTGACAATATTTCCAAAATCATTGCATATATTTTGCAGAAACCCCTCTTATATCCGAAATGCTTAAAAAAAGTCGTTGTATATTCCACTTAATTTTAATGTATACATAAATCATACAAAAAAATAAACAATAAAAAATCTTATTCAAGCAATCGGCTAAGTAGGCTCGAATGAAAATATTATAGCAGCATAGGTGAAAACACGTTATAATTCACTCGGATTCCAAATGGTATCACGTAATTTCATCTCAGGAGCTTGCTTTCTTATAAATAAACCAAGATATAGGCAGCGATAAATTTCGTTTTCCGAGATTTGTGAGAACGCTTGCTTGTATAATTTAAATTCCTTGTTTTAAGGTTTAGACGCTTCGGCGATAAATGCGTATCTCAATTGTCTTTCATGACAGTTTTGTTTAATGTGATTATTTTTTGTTTACAATTACATTTCCTAAAATCATACACCTGATGTTATCATTGCTATTAAGTTGACTCTTAACTTTTTTGCAGTATGCTAGACCAGTTTGATTTTCAATTTAAAAATAACGGAATTGTCATTGAAAGTATTAAACGACTCCACTAACAAAACTGTCAAAAAGTACTCAAATCTTGT